ATGTTATATGTCCCCTGTTATCCCCTGTTCTTTCCTAACCTATAACCATATGTATAGGTTATAGACATTAAATAAAATAAATGTTAATGTTTGAAAATACTAATTTGTTAATAAAGTAAATCTTATGTGGTGATCATACAAGGTAAAGGATTTGAGTCTAACATTTGATTGATAACACCTTTGCATTAGCATTTGTCATATTAAGGGAAATAGGGAAAATAATTTACAGTCTGTTTTTGAAATTGCTTTGTGCAAATTATCTGGACGACAAAATCTATTCTTATACTTCCCACTCTTGGAGTCCCTGTGCTGGTTTGCTGGGACTGCCATAATGAAGATAACTAAGTACCACAGATGAGGTGGATTAAACAACACATTTGTTTCTCATAGTCTGGAGTCTGGATATCCAAGGTCAAGGTGTCAGCAGCTGTAGTTTCTTCTGAGGCCTCCCACATTGCAGGTGCCTGTCTTCTCAGCGTGTCCTCCATGTGGGTGCCCGTCCGTATCCCAATTTCCTCTTCTTTACGGACATTGGTCACGCTGGGTTAAGGCTCACCCATATGACCTCACTTTATTTTAACTACTACTCTAAGGGCTCTGTAGCTAAGTACCACATTCTGAAGTACTAGGAATTAGAACTTAAACATATGAATTTTGAGCCTATATCAGTCCTGACTATAAGGCATATTTTCATACCAAAGGACAGACTGTTATACTTGGCCATCTCTATCAAGATGCAAAATAGAATCCTGTTAAAACCATTAAACTCATGTTAGTTAGCAAACTGGACATTGATCGTTTCCTCCAAAGTCAAACATATGTTTAATTTTCAACAACTAATAACTGAGTTAGGAGCATTAGAGCTTACAATAGACAGAGTTTACATTACATACAACAGTTAGCGGTTTCAAGTTATTATTTCAATTGCAAAGATTTTCATGAAACAAATCTTTTGTTACTTTAAATCCTCTTTTTTAAAAAAACTGAAATAGAAGGTTGTTTTTTTTTTATCATCAGATTATTTCTTGTTTGCTTCCTGAGTTTATGAAAATGAGAGCCTCAAGCCTGATAGAGAGTGAGATTTGCCCTGGGCTTGGCCCTACTTATACATTCATTATCTGTGTTTTGAAGTCTATAAGATAAGCGCATGTTTATAAATCATGGCTTAATCTTTGCCTTGGATAACAACTGCCATTAAGTACACTGTTTTATCAGTCCACCTGATCTTTTAGGAAGTCATCAGCTCTCCGATTACTGACTCGCCATTATAGAAATTGCATGCTATCTTTACATGCTTTCAAAACAAAAACACCCCTGAAGATTTAGAGACCAGTTCTTGATTGATATGAAGCGGACCTACATTCTGGCCCAATAATCTGATCTTTCCAACTCAACCTTTCTGGGCTTTGCTTTTCTCACCTGCGAAATTCAAAATATTGTTTTATGTCCCATCCAACTCTAGTGTCCTGTGACTGTTTGAAATTCTGGCTTAGAAAACAAAATGATGGTACATAATTTGCATTAGAGGTGGTCCTACCAATGACATCGCTCATTGTCCCCAAGAACTTAGCTCATTGAATTCAGAAAATGGACTGAATTCGGAAAATGAAGGTGGTCTATATATTTTGTCTGTGTACATCAAGATAGCCATCTGTGCCTTTATTTTTTAAAATATGTTTTTATTGATTTTTTAGAGGGAGAGAGAGAGAAAAACATCAATTGGCTGACTCCTGCACGCCCCTCACTGGGGACTGAGCCCGCAACCCAGCCATGTGCCCCGACAGGGAATCGAAGTGGGACCTCTCAGTCCAGGGGAGGGCGTTCAATCCACTGAGCCTCACCAGAGGGCTGTGCTTTTCTTTTTATGTTAGCGTCATTTTGGGACAATTTATTAGTTTTATTCTTGTTTTCATTAGCTTTAACATGTTGATTATTCAAGCTGTGTTTGATGAGAGATCGCATCACCCACACCTTTCTGTTTGAAAGGTGGGTCAGGGTCATTTGTTTTGTCAGCTTTGACCAGTCCTCAAAATCCTGCAGTAGCTCTGTCTCTTTTCCAATGAATGTCTATAGCGTTCCATTTGAGAGATAAAGTATAAACATATGAACCTCAGATTTATGTCCATAACATTTTTAGTAGTTGACATTTGCATTAAAAGGCTAATATTATGAGAGTCTGTGCTAATCCTGGGCCAGTTCCCTGCTCCGTCAGCTAGGTTCTGCATCTCCCCCATCACTCTCCTCTTTTCTCCCTGGGTAGATGAGCTATGATTGACAGGAAGGGCCACTTTGTTCTTTCATTTCTCATCTCAGAATTTTAAAGACTTATTGAGAAGGTGTTACAGATTTCTGGCATCGATGGTTTTTTCCCCTGCAGCTCCCTTTGACTAGAGTATTGAACTTCAGGTGTGTGGAAGTGTACATGGTTTTATTTTTCTATGGCAAATTTTCAGAGTTAAGGATTTAGATGAAACACATTAAAATAGTTCCTTCATTCATATTTAGTTTGACCTGTTTGGTAAAAATCTATCCAATTTGGGGAACTGGGGAATAATATTTCCTGTTTCACCTTTACTCCAATATCATAGCTCTCATTAAAGTCCAATGGAAAAACATTGACCAGGACTATTTTTAGCAACTTACAGGGGTGATGGCGACTTTCTCAGTCCAGGTTGCCTCCCTCCCTTCCTCATTCCCTTGCTCTCTTCTCCTCCCTCCCCTCCCCTCTCCTCCTTCCTTTGTTTGTTCAGTCTGGCCCCTCTACAAACATCAGACAAAACTGACATGTGTCTGCCCCTTTGGAGTTTAAGATCAAGTGTAGAAGCCACAAAGCAAGCAAATTAGCAATTAAACTGGGATAAATGTTGTCAAGCAAAACAACCACAACAAATAAAGTGCCCCGAAGGTCCCTCTGTTGTGTAAATGAAATAGACGTTTGTTCATGGGTTCTCTTTTGTGATCTGACCCTGCCTCTCTGCCACTAAAAGGAGCAATGACTTTGCCATGTCCTATAGCTTCAGAGCAAATGTGCTTCAGCCTTGCTTGAGTCATGAGGGAGCACCCTGGACTGGAGCCCCAGGAACACACAGGGTCTGACTCATCACCTGCTGGGCGAGGTGCTGGCCGGTGGGGATTCTGAGTATCCACCCCCAGGGCCCCAGATTAAATCTACTTCAGTATAGTGGCATCAGTTCCATTGTGGGATTCAGAGACGCCATTCCTTTAACCCGTCCCTTCTCTGAAATGGAGGATTACTCAGGCTTTCTTTTTCTTTATTGTATTTAATTTATTCCAAGGAGAATTGTATCCCTTGGCTATTTTATGTTTCAAATGTACCCATTTGTAATAAAATCATATGGTATGATGACGATGTAACTAATGCTGTGTACTGTGCTTTGCACTATCCAGGCAGGAACCCCCAAAGCACTGAAGGTTCATTTCCCACCTGCTGGGCACTGCGATTTCCAACTCAAAATTCACTGGACTTACACACTAAAGTCATACAAATTCTATTGCATACTTAAGTCTGTAAAGTGCATACGTTAAAATATCTGCTTTCCGGTTCCACAGGCTGCCCCCTCCCTCCCTCCATTCCTCCCTCCTTCTTTCTTTCTCTCTCTTTCTCTTCTGTTTACAAACACATACTTTCCTCCTCAAAGACAGGTACTATGTTTTTAATCATCCCAGCATATAGCATAATTATACTTTTCATACTTGAAATTTCTCAAACACATTAAACCAGCTAGCTTAAAATAAAATTAAGCAACGGTTTACTAATACTGCATGTATTACCTTGTAGCCAGTTCCTAATCAATACATGTTCAACAAAGATGTTTCAGATATCCATTTTAAAATAAATTCAGGGCAGTGTATGTCTGCATATGTATTTTTTCTTTAAACGTAAACACCTTTTCTCTGTAAATGTGAATATCTCTACTCTAAGGACTTTCACAAAACAAAACTGAAAAGGTTTTTCTGTCTAGAGTCTTCCAAGGTTAATGATCGACAGGAGGCCTCCGACCCAAAGGTTCATGATTTGCTTCTGGTTTTAGGTCACGTCTTAGCCTTTTTTTGTGTGTGTATAGAATAAGATTGTTGGAAACTTTGGACCCTGATGAGTTTTATTCAGTCACTGCCTTCATGATGATTTGAGGAATTAATGTTTGGGGCAATGCTTCCAGAGGGTTGGGTTCATGTGCTGGTTTGCAGGCTGGTAGCAGGGGCCTCACCACAGGGCACCTGGGACAACAGCTGTGTTTTGATTCTGTCTGACACATAGCATTGACCATTCCATGCCCCTCACTGGCTGAAAGATCCTTCTTCTGGGCCCCTCATAGCCAATCTGGGGAGTCTACCTGGTTCAGGGTCATTTGTCCTTGGGCACTGCTTGTAAGTAAGTGAGCAGAAAAACTGCAGGTGGGAGGGGTCCAGGTCAGGAAGGGATGTTTATAGTACAGGAAAGAAGGCTTTGGGGAGTTGAGACCAAGAAATGCATCCCCGAGAAGAACATCAGAGATGAAGAAGAGGGAAGTGATGTAAACGGGGAAGAGAGAGCGAAGGATAGACTCCCGGGCAGGATGGAAAGGTGTGGCCCGGCGTCTGCTCTGCTGGGGCAGCAAAGTCAACCCCTCTGACACTGGAAACCAAGATCATCTCTGTCACCCGATGTTCCACATGGGATAGCACCAATTGGGCTCCTTTGAGCCCCAGCAAACTCTGGTCACTAGACACGTGCCAGGACGAGGCAGATGGGAGCCGAGTGGTCATCTTTTCTGGCTGCATGTTACGTCTGCCGAGAGCTGTAAAAACGACTGGCACCTAGGCCCACATCCAGCACACCTGATTGACTCGGTCGGGCTTGGGGCCCAGGCATCATCATTTCTCAAAGCTCCTCAGATGAATCTCTATGCAGCCAGGCTGGAGAACCATGGCTGCTTAACTGTCCAGTGACCTGGGAGACCCACTGACCTTATTTCCTTCCTTCCTTCTTGCCTTTGCAGACTACGGCACCATTAAGAAGGTGCGCGCACCCCTGACTCAGACCTCGGGTAGCTGTTTGCTGGAAGAAATCGAACTCTTCCCCGAGCGGCAGAGGGAGCCCATCAGGAGCCTGCAGATCCTCCACAGCCAGAGCGTCCTGTTCGTGGGCCTGCGGGAGCACGTGGCCCGGATCCCACTGAGGAGGTGCCACTTCCACCTCACGCGCAGGTAGGGCAGCCCCGGCGTCCATGCTGTCCGTCGGTGCCCCTTTTAGCTGTGCCACCAGAGAGACAGCACGGGAGCCAGAGGTCTTTAAATCCCCTGTGGTTGAATGGCTGAAAGGCCTTCACGTCCTTGTGAGTCCTGAATCCCAGGATGCAGAGAGTTTGGGTGCAAACTGATTAACTGATGAAAATAACCCACCAGTGTCCGTGGAGGAGGAGCTGCATGATAACATCTGCAAGCAACTGCCAGGGTTACAATAAATTAGAGCACTCAGAGATAATGCTGATAGTGATTTGGCACAAGTTTAGTTTTATTTGTGTAGTGTGTGTGTGTGCACAGTCTCTATATATGATCAGATATATAGCAGAGAGAACAATATGCAGTGAGTCCCCGTAGTCCAAAGCTAATCCCCTCAGATGGAGCAATGATGCCCCCTTTCCGGGCAGTCCTCATGGTGCTGTCCTGGGCATCAGCTGTCCTGGGATGCGTTCTCTCTCCTGGGGCTCCAGGGTCACTCAGACCCTGGGAGGAGACAACGCGCAGGGATTCTATAGGTGCAGGGAGACCCATGTGCTTTCACACCCTGTCTCACTGCCTCGGCCAGTCTGCTCATCACCGTGCAGTGACCACTACTGGCCCCAGTGATGTTTGAAGCTCAGTTTGGAAAAACGCAGGCCCACATGCTTGGAAACTGAAAAGTTCCGTGTACACCATACACTTGACCAGCACTTTAATGTCGGAATATTGCATGAATGCTCTGTCCCCCGACTCAAGACTGCCCCTGGGGAAATCACAACCTCAAGTGTCCATAAGGATTAGGGCTCCTGTTAATTCCAGTCCCCAAAACAGGGCATCAGTGTAGACTTGGTGTAGAAGTAGAAGTGGACATTTGGATATATCATTCACAAACACCACTTACAGGTCACTCTCAAACCAGGCACCCAGTGGCACCAGCTTTGGGTTCAGGGGCTGGGAGTCACATTACAGACCTGTACATGCTGTTCCTGACCTGGTCACCACAGTATTTTAAATCTCACTTTCTTATCTAACTCACAAATTACTCTAGAATAAAATGGGATAATGTGTACAGTGCAAAATTTAAAGCTGTCTGCAAAGTGGGTATTCTTATGTAGAAGGAAAGTTTTATATACAATAAAAATTATTACAGTATAGTACGTCTTCTGGAAAATGAAGTCTATACTCTGAGGCCCTCCTTGGTATTCGAGTGCTGAGAAATAACTTTAGGGACCTCCCAGCTAATGGCGATGCTGTGGTGAGCATTAATACCAAATGGTGATCTTTATCAGCAACTATCTTTTATGTAGCACCTTTTCTCTAACTTAACCAATGGTTGCTTAAAATCTGTTTGGATCTGTGTTCCCTACAGGACTCATTTAGGGCAGGAATTATTCTGCCCAGTTGCTGATGGCTCAGTGGGGGACAGGAGGGTGGGGGTCTTGCTAACAGACATGTCACAGATCAGAATGCAGTGAGAAGGTGCCAGTCTTGCATCTCTGTCCCAAGGAGCTCTGATTGGAACAGTGACTTCCTTGGGGCATGCCTGTGCCAGAAGGTACAGGCTGGTGCTGCATGTCTTGTGTTTCTGGTGCCAGAGTGGCAGTTCGTAGCTTACAAAGCATGAGGCCCTTCCTTCGTCCTTTCATGATGTTTCCTTCACTGGGCCTGGGTTACAGGTGCTCGGCTCCTTGTAGGTTAGACAGCTAAGTGCTGCATCGGGTCCGGGAAGCCAGGCCTCATCGTGCTCACTCTCACCTCTCGCGTGACTGACGCCAGGCACTGCAGGCAGGTCACAGCTCCCTCTTTCTGTCAAGGAAATTAAGGCCACTTGTCTGTCATCACAGGCTCCTGCGGGGAGATTTTACTGTTACACCTGTTATACCCAGAGCTGCGTCTTCCTGCTGTTTACTCCTCCCCTCGCTCAGAGGAAAGCAGAGAGATTAATAACTTCACTGTAGACCAATGGATGGTGGTCTCTGTGTGCCCACACTCTGTGTGGGGTAGTTTGCATCTGACTCTTAACAACTGCAGTTGAGAAAAGAACATCTTATTTTAAATCCTCACCTGAGGATCCTTTTCCACCTGTCTTCAGGTGGGGGGGAGGGGGAGAAACATCTATGTGACCACAACCGAGGTACCTGCCCTTAACCGGGATCAAACCAGCAGCTCTTTTGTCCGCAGGCCTTTGCTCTGCCCGCTGAGCCAAACAGGCCAGGGCAGGAAATCTTTATTTTAACGCAAGAGTTTCTCTGGATTCTTTCCGGTATGTTTCTCTGACATCTCTTTGTAGAAAGACAGAGTGAAAATCTCCCTAGTGAAGATCAGCTGGAGAAAAGAATCTATTTTTAAGAAACTAATATCTACATGAACAGATTTTCTTTATATGAATTGGGGTGGGGGTGAAGGGGTGGATGGTGGCTCTTTTGTTGTTGTTGTTTGTTTTTGACAAAAGCAATGTTGATTTTTCAGAAACATGCCTAAAGAAGCACACTAAATAGGAACAGAATAACAATTGAGTAGCCAGCAGTTACTGATTTCTTCTTTAATTAGACTTTCTTTAGTAGAATGTAAGTAATTTTAGTTGTTACTAGAAACCCAGCTTTATTAATGAATTTTGAAGTGTTTAAGAAGAGAAATTGAGCTTAACTAATTACATTCCCATTTTTCATTTTTCAGAATATCTGGTTTTTCAAAGGCAATGTACAGTTTGATGAATGTTTATAAATGATAACAACTGATACAATTCCACATGTTCCTGCCACATATCTGGCAGGGTGCTCGATTTTACCACCATTTTATCATGTCCATCATATACTCCGAGTGTAAAGTCCCTATTGTCTCCATTTCTCAAATGAAGAAACGGTGGCTTAGGCTTTTGCTGTCCTGCCCAAGGTCACATAGCTCTAGTGTTAGGAAACGCAGTTTCAGAGCTGGGACTTCTGTTCCCGAGGCCCAGGCTTCATCTTGGGTTCTCTGTGCTGTCCCTGCTCCAGTGAGGACCTCAGGCTCAGTGGTCAGATTTCGGGGGGGGGGGGCAGCTTCTGAGGGCACTTTGCCTGTGTTCCTCCCTGAGAGGCTGGCTGATTAGTGTCAGGACAGGCCAAACGCAGGTCTACAGGCAGCTAGTCTCTGCTGCGTCCATTGGTTTCTTCCTCATTTGCTTGATCCAGCAGACCAGAAGGCATTTTGCACCCCCTTATTATCTTAAAGTGAATCTGCGTTCTCCAGTTTTTCTAGAGGTGATCCTGGAGCCTCGGGGGAGGCTGGAGAGCTTGCACCATCCGTGCTGTGCACGTATCGTAACCTCAGACAGATGGCATGATGTTTTACCTTCACACAGCTGTTTTCCTCAGTTATTCTGAAAGAACATTATTTAAAAATAGATATTTTAGTCAAATTTGATCTCAAAAAACAAGTTAAAATATAGGTTTTAATTGTCGCCTTTTTTTTTTTTTCCACAACCATTTACTCAATGGCATGGGGAAATTAGGCAAAGAATTAATGTCATTCATCAGAATGGGTGGTTACCTCTTGCGTGTAGAGTGCTAGAGAAACGTTTTCCTCTCTGTGCATCCTCTAGTACTCTAGGACTTGCTTCACATGTGTGTGTTAGTTTCATAGAGTGAATTAACATTTTGCAAACTTTGAGGACCCTGGGGATCAGGACAGGCCCAGATATGGGTACTGCATAGGACAGTGGAAGGTAGGTACGCTGTCGTCATTCGGGGACTACCTTCAGGGCTCCCCAATAGCTGGGTGAGGTCTTGAAAGTGGAAAAAAGGTCTCCATAGAGATGCACAGGATGGAGCAGCAAGGACTAGTCACTGTCTTTATTCCCCGAGATATAAATACCAGTGTGAACTCATAACCTTACACCTGCAGGAAAACAGACTTTGGCAGAGCTGATAGAGCGTCCATTTCGTTGCTTCAGGAAGAAGAGACTAGGCACAGGACTGGGGCTAGTGGTAGAGTCAGATTATTTTCCTGCCACCTTCCCACTCAGGGAAATGTTGACGCATTCCGACTGGTCTGAAAGGTTGCCACGCCTGGGTGAAGTGGGGAGAGCTTTTGATAAAGACTTTTAAAGTCATGTTAAGGATTGCGCATTCATTAGATCAGGGATCAGCCCACTTCCGCTGTAGGCTTCACAGGCTCTCTGGCTTCTCTGAAAACCAGTCAGCTTTGTCCTCAGAGCTTGGAGGCAGCCACAGATCCTAATGAATGGGCGTGGCTGTCAGCAAGGCTCACAGATTCATCAGGCAGAGGAGTAAAATAACTTTTAGATTCAGATCATTTATTACTTTCATAGAAAAATAAAAGTAGGAGCAGAAAAGGTGTCAGCTACCCATGTCCCTTGTCCCACGGGATGACACCAAAACAAAAGGGGCCCGACGACGATGTCACAGGAGAACCAGGGCGCCTCCTTGCAGAGCTGGGTGGTGTGGCCTGCAGCTCGGTTAGACAGGCTCCTGACCGCTTCCCGGGAACAGGGAGGGGGGAGGGCGCTGGCCGAGCACAGCTCCTCCTCGTTCTCACACACGCTGTGATCAGGGAGGATCACCGGGTGTCCTGCCCAAGCTCCGGTCAGCTGTGGTTACACTTTGCCCCGTGTGGGACATGAAAACCCACCCGGGTGCCAGGGCAGAGCACTTCCCTGTAAGCTGTTTCAGTAAAACTTTAGGTTTATCACTTGCTGACTCCTAAATCAGAATATTTTCATATTGAAGGAATGAATGGACCTTAAAACATTATGTACACTGATTTATAACATTAGGTGTTAAAATGATTAAATTACATAAATTAACTCTATACCTTAATGTTTTCTGAATAACATGATATTGTTTTCTCTTTGGATACTTATATTCTTTTTTTTAATGCTTACATAAATTAGATTTCTAAAAAAATTTTAAATAGTGGTTTACATTGAATATTAATCAGTGTAGTAGTATCAGATATGCACAAAGTACTTAACGATCATGTACTTT